TCGGGAGTGACTTCACCACTGAGCTAAAAGGGTGTCTGGGGGCCATACTCTCGGGGTTTCTCCAGTCTCTTTCAGGCCAGTAAGTCTGGTCTTTTTTTGTGTGTGTTAGAATTTTGTTCTACATCGTTCTCCAGCTCTGTCCAGAACCCTCTGTTGTGATCCCGGGCAGAGCAGTCAGTGGTGGCAGCCAGGCACCATCTAGCTGTCCTGGACTCAGTCTTGTGGAGGCTGTGGTAGCTGTGGTCCATTAGTCCTTTGGACTGATCTTTTCCTTGTATCCTGTTCTCTTCATTCTCCTTTGCTCCCAAAGGGGTGAGACCAGTGGAGTATCTTAGATGGCTGCTCACATCTGCCTCTTTTTTTGAGATCCCCAAGATGATATTCAGTAGCATCTTTACTACCTGTAAGGCTGGGATTCCACAGGTAATGAAGATATAATAGGCTGTTTTACTGGGAGGACCTGGTAGGCATAGTTTCCACATGTGAAGCACAGTTCTTGTTCTTACTAGTAGGCTTAGCTTACTAATTAAATGAGATTTTTGATATGGTCATGGCTACTGCGCATTTGATTTATTTCACTATATCTTCATAGGAAGAAAAACAGAATTCAATAAGAATTCAGTAGGGAACTTATGTAAATAACATGATCGTAAAAAGTGAAGCAGCTTAGTAAAGGCACTTTGTATGATCTTCAACCATTGTTTTTAGTAGTTTTGTACACAAAGATAATCAGCATATATCATTTTTTCTACATAATCATTATTTTAAGTTTACCTTAGCTTTTAATTTGTATTAATAATTTTTATTGTATTTCTTTTCCTGAGTTCTAAGGGGTAAGCTGGAGCAAGATACCATTGAATAAATGTTTCATTTACAAACACATTTTGTAAATTGTTAAACTATAAAACTGTTGAATTGAGGGTTAGAGATGGATCAAGAAGAAAGAAAAGGATTTTTCTTATATGGTCTTTAAAAATAGAACACTAACCACAAATAAATTAGTTTATATCATTTTAGGTAATTAATTTATTCTTTTTCCTGATCTTGGGTTAAAGAGCCTATTTCACAAAATTTTCTTCTTCTAGGCTAATAGAGTCCTAGAAATTCAGACACAGTCCCTCAGTACATTCTGACAGGTATCTTTCTGCCCATGAGACAAGGTCATCCTTACTGAGACACTTGTACCCAGGAGTCTGTTTGTTCCTTGTGATGTCAGCAGTTAGTAGAACCTGGTTCCATGTTGACTGGGGCTCTTCTAATCTTTCTTCAGAAGGTTTGTTTCTGAGATATAGCTTGTAGCAGGGGTCTTTTAGGCAAGAGTAAGATAAAAGCAGAAATCACCTATGGATGGGAAGACAAATGGCTCTGTTTAATGCCTTATAATAGCCAACTATATCAGATTGGAACACAGTGAAGTCTTATTTGGGTATAATGTATAATCCTTTTGTTTAAGACTTCCATCAATGATTGCCTTGAGAGTTGTTGTTAGTTTCCATCCAGTTGTTTCTGATTCATGACGACCCCATGTGTGCAGAGTAAAACTGCTCCATAAGATTTTCAAGGCTGTGACCTTATGGAAGCAGATCATCAGGCCTGTCCTCCAAGGTGCCTCTGGATGGGTTCGAGCCACCTACCTTTGAGTCAGTGGTCAAGCGCTTAACCATTTGCCCTACTCACAGACTCCTACCTTGTAAAAGTATGAACATATTATAAGTAGTGAGGGTGTTTTTAGATCTCCAGAGCCCTTTAATGTAATCTATAAATTGTATGTTACAGTTGTCACCAGTTGGTGAGCATATTTAAACCTAGAAACAAAACCTTTCTTTTTTTTTAAAAAAGGATTAATTTGTTAACAGTTGTTGTGCGCATCTTTGTCCATGAACGTGAATATGCTTCTGTCCAACCAGAAAAGTAAACAATTGCTGAAATGCATTCATATTAATAACATCTTACATATATATAATTAACTTAGGGAAGTTGAACTTCTATTTGCTAGTTTTTCACATTTTGTGGGCTTGCTAACAGCAGCATTCACAAAGCATTGAGCTAATTAGAAATCTGGAGAATGCCAAGCATACCTAATTATTTCTAGTATTCCTTCTCTTATAAGTTGAGGGAGCAAATTATGGTTTACCCTCTAGCCACCTAGAAAACCCAAAAGTAGTTTTGGTGGAAAAAACATCTTAACGATTTTATTATTTTGAATATGGGGCCTGAATTTGCAAAAAAAAAAAGAATTGTCAGAAGAAACAAAGTATAAGCATAAATCATTTAGGCTTAAAGATAAGACATGATTATAGTCTTGATATAGAGTGAAAATAAATGCAGCAGTGAGGAACAATAATTATTTGGAATGATTTTTTTAAAAAAATGTTGCCATTGAGTGGATTCCGACTCATAGGGAACCTATAGGACAGAGTAGAACTGCCTCATAGGGTTTCCAAGGAGCAGGTGGTAGATTCAAACTACTGTCCTTTCGATTAGCAGCTGAGCTCTTACTGTTTTTTTTTTTTTAAGAGCCTTAGTTTAAATAAATGACTCAAGAGCATTATGAAAAACACAAAGGTCAGCAGAATATTTTAGTGGTATAGGGAACCTTTGCTCTCCAAGTATAGAATAACTTTTTACTGTTTTTATACCATTTTACTGTTAAGAACAGACTATGTGCTCAGAAATCAGTTATTGAAACAGAAAGAAAAACTCAAATTTTAGTTTTTTTTTTAATACAGTCCATATAACATTTTGCAGAAAACCTTTTTCAAAGCCTTTTTCCATCTTACAAGAAAATCCGTCAATATTCAGCCCACTTTGTCAACATTTAATGTTTTTTACCTCCTTTCACACTTAAGATTTGCAGATACTGTAAACCAGGGCAAATGCAATTCACTTCTCAGACCTACAACTTATTGAAAACCTTCAAATTCGTCTTTTGTTATCTTCTTTTATATTCTGGCATGATCAGACAATTTTATTATAAGACAAAATTACTCTCTTTTTCTTCTTGGTAAGCAAGAAACACATTTATTATCTTGCATACATATCCCCTTACAATCATAGATAACCTTTTACATGCTTAAAGTAGCAAAAATGAACATGTATCGATGATCAAAAGGTATTTGTATATCCTTTCAATCTTTTAGCTATTGGACAATCAATAAAGTATCAAAATAAGAGTCAAGGATATGTGCCTGTGTGTGTGTGTAAATTCGGTTTGGTAGACTGATTTTTAAAAATATTTTTTATCTTGTCTATATCTTACCTATAAATTGTCCACATATCTAGAAGTAGGATTGCTGTGTCATAGAATAACATATATTTAGCTTTAGTAGATAAGACCAAATAGCTTGTCTAAAGTGGTTGTACCAATGATTGAGAGTTCTGGTTTCCCCATATTCTTTCCAACCCTTGGCATTATAAGTTTTTCCCTCTCTTTTTTAAAAAAATGATCAGACTATAAAATTTCTTGTAACTGCTACCACAGTCAGGTTACAGAACAGTTCTGTCACCCCCTAGCCCTAACTTCAGGCAACCACTGATCTTTTCTCCATCATGGTAGTTTTGTCTTCTTAAGAATGTCATGCAAATGGAACCATACAGTATGTAACCTTCTGAGACTGGCTTCTTTCACTCAGCATAATGCCTTTAAGATTTGTTCAAATTTTTTCAAGAATCAATAGTTCATAGACATTTTATTAACCATTACTGTCGAGTGATTACAACTCATAGGGACCCTATAGGACGGAGTAGAACTGCCCCATAGGGTTTCCAAGGCTGTAATCTTTATGGAAGCAGACTGCCACATTTTTCTCCTGTGGTGCCGCTGGTAGGTTCAAATTGCCGGCCTTTGGGTTAACAGCTGAGAGCTTAGCCATTGAGTCACCATGGCTCCTTGGGTAGTATTTCATTGTATGGCTGTATCACAATTTATTATATGTTCACCTTGAAGGACAGTTGGACTGTTTCTAGTTTTTGGTGATTGTGAATAGAGCTGCTAAGACAGTCATGTATATGTTTTTGTGTGAATGGAAGTTTTCATTTTTCTAGGATAAATACATTGGAGTGGGATTACTGGGTCATGTGGCAAGTGTATGTTTAACTTTTTTTGTGTGTAGGCAACCATAGCCACTATCTGTTTCCAAAACTTTTTCGTCACCCCAAACGTGTTGCTCTGTACCCATTGAGCAGTAGCTCCCCATTCCTCCAAGCCCCTGGCAACCTTCAGTCCACCTACTGTCTCTATGAATTTGCCTGTTCTAGACATTTTATATAAGTGGGGTCATTCAGTATTTGTCCTTAAGGGGTACTGAGTTTGTTTGGAGTGATGAAAAACTTTTGCAAGTAGGTAGTGATAATGGTTGCCCACATGGTGAAGGTAATTTATGCCAATGAATTGTACTCTTAAAAATGGTTAAAATGGCAAATTTTTTGTTACTTAATTTCACTACACTAAAAAATAAAAGCAATGTGTTTAAAGGGTATGCTTATTTCAATAGTTGTGTTTTTTAGTGGCATTTATTTCAGAAATTATCCTGCTTTTATTCTTCTAGTTCTGGGATTACCGCCAGCCTCGGAAATACCTCAGTATTCTCCCTTGCCAAGTGCCTGTCTGGAAGGCCAGATACACTGTGAGTGAGACACCCTACCTTTTGCTGGGAAGCTTCATCTTGGTGTTGCAGACACAAGGGTCGAAGCAACATTTTCTGTTACTTTTTTTGTAAAGCAGTTTTCTCTTTCTGTCTTGGTTTAGAGTGGAGCAAAGGTGATAATGATAGCTTAAAGCTGTTATCTGTTTAAACATTTACCCTTGGAATGCTGCGTAGGTGTCCCTCTTAGAATTGCTAACCACAACTAGACAGAAGCTGGGCAGTGTAAGTGTTCACTGATGGTAGGGGAGCAGGGTGGGATGCAAGCAGGGGGTTGAGAGGCTCAAAATCAATTGATTCTGGTGGAAAGAACTCTGACTTTAGATTCAGAAGACCTGGGTTTGGGGCTTGACTCTGCCATTTAATATTTTCGTGACCTTGGGCAAACCACTTAATATTTTTGAGCAGCAATTTCCTCCTCTGTAGAATATGAATAATAATTTCTACTGCGCCTTTTTTTATTATGGTAAAATTCTCATAACATCAAATTCACCATTTTAACCACTTTAATGTGTACAGTTCAGTGCTTTATAAACTATAAAATGCTACAAATATAGGAGTAGACTGTTAACCTTCCAACAATTTTTCCATTGCCACATTGATAGCTGCTAATCACAGATAATATATTTCCTTTAATGTCAATGTGAAAGTGAGCCTGGGCATGAATCAAGCTACCTTTATCCTGAGGCTGTCACCTCGGGCATTGTGGAGCAAAGAAGATAATTGGGTATTATGTTGTTTTTGCATCTGGGAGCACTTGCCAAGAAATCTGACCCTGTTCTTATGAACTGAAATACTTCTCTGGATTAATGTGTTTGCTTTAAAAAACAAACAGGAAAGTTCAGGAGTGCTGCCAGGTGGGGAAGTGAAGCTGACTGTGCTCTTAAGTGACTATGATTCATTCCTTAAAGAACTGAATCTAATTATAAACCAAATGAGCCCCCTAGCTACGTAGCAGGTTGAGTGTTGGTGAGTAAAGCATGTCAATCCTGAAATGATAAAGTATTCCTTTGAAGATTTGTGGTACTTGGGGCAGTAGGAAGGTGATGTTCCACATTGATGGTGTGCTTCTGGTGCATTTCACGTGGCAAAAATTACGTTTGCTGCCTGGAGATTTTCCCAGTCAGGCTTACATGCTCATTCTGGGAAAGCACTTCTCTTAACCTGAGAGGGAACTCATGGAGAATAGCTAGGATGTGAAACAGTGTGTTCTAATGCATAGTCAGAGTCATTTGCATATTTTAGGATGAAAAAAATTCTCCAAGCATTTGGTTTGGTTTTAGTTTTTACTTGCTGTGGTCCCTTCCAAAAAGAGAAGGGTAGATGTAATGGTCAACTTATAATATTTGGAAAAAATATTCCCAGGATAGGTTGGGTCGTTCCATCCTTTATTTTAGTTAGGAAAGAATTCCAACTTTGGTAACCCAAGACTCAGCCGATTATACCTGGAATAATCACATTTTCCCGTTTCTTACCCTCAGCCTTTCAGCAATGGGTTAGTGACTGTGATGGTTCCCCAGCTGCGGAGAGAAAATAGTCTTCTCCTTTGGAATGTCTTTGACTTGAACACCCCAGTCCATACCTTTGTAGGACATGATGATGTGGTCCTGGAGTTCCAGTGGAGGAAACAGAAGGAAGGTGAGGGAGAGAAAACCTCATGCCATTAGTGAAAATTTGAGGTCTTTTTTCTTTAAATTACAAAACGTATCATGTATCTAGAAAATTGCTTAAAACATACACAGTTTAACAAGTAATTATAAAATGAAAATCTGTGTAACCACCAAGGTCAAGAAAAAGAACATTGCCAGAATCCCAGAAGCTTCCCAATCACCACCCCTTCTTCCCCTAGAGGTAAACACTATCCTAATGCTTATGACAGTAATTTCCTTTTTTTGGCTTTATAGTTTTAGCACCCATTCATGCGTGCCTAAAGATAGTTTCATTTTGCTTTTTTTTGAACTTTTTATAAATATAACTGTCCTGCATTCATTGTGTTTTACTTCTCTCTCAACCTAATGTTGTTGCTTTAGTTGATTTTTGTTGCCATGTTTTTTCAGTCAGTTTTTACTGGACCATCTCAAGCTTTGATTTTGATTTTCACTGGGGGTGAAGGAGCTCCTAGAGAGATAGGAAGGGAAGTAGGGTGTTGTGGGCAAGGGACTGGGATGTTTCATGAAGGGAAAGGTAGTCATTGGTTTCATGTGTTGCTGAAGGATCAAAATGCAAATTAAAAGAAAAGCATTTAATTTAACAAGTAGAAAACTGTATGATCATTAAGAGAGAAGTTCTAAAAGCAGATTGAGGACACAAGCCAGATCATAAGGTAGCTTTATAAGTGGAGGCAGCAGTTTTGTGAATGAAGTTGCCTTCAAAGGCAAGGAGTAGAATAGGCTGATTGGCAGAGGACCTGCTGCCTTCTTCATTTGAAGGCTGGGAGAAGAGATGAGGGCACTTGATAAATGAGTGGGAGTAGGGTCGAAGGCATAGGAAGAGGAGTTGACTTCAGAGAGGAATTAGGCATACCTCTTCCTCAATGTCAGGGACATGAAAAGAGGCCAGATAGAGGGTCAAAAATTGTTGACGTTAGCAGGAAGCTAGATGGTGGAACTCATGACAGACAGTGGTTCAGAATAATTGCTCCTTTGTTGTTAGAGTGCACAGGGATGCTGTAAAGCATTGCCAGTTCAGGCTTGTTCGAAAGTAGTGACGTGGAGAAGGAGCTGATAACGGTGAAAAGAGAACTGGCCCTTGTTTTGCCGCTAATGCCCTATGTCTTAGTCAGGGTTTTCTAGAGAAACAGAACCAGTGAGATCTATCTATGTCTATGTATATGTTTAGGAGTCCTGGTGGCACAGTGGTTAAGCACTCAGCTGCCAACCAAAAGGTCGATGATTCGAACACACCAGCAGCTCCATGGGAGAAAGATATGGTAGTCTCTTTCCGTAAAGATTTACAGCCTTGGAAACGATATTGGGTAGTTCTACTCTGTCCTGTAGGGTCGTGATGAGTTGGAATCAACTTGATGACAACGGGGTTTATGCCTGTATGTGTGTCTGTCTCTATATCTGTATTGAGAGAGACCGATTTATTTTGAGAGATTAACTTGTGCAATTACGGGGTCTGGCAAACCCAAAATCTGTTAGGTCAGGCGTCAGACTGGAGAGTTCTACACACTTGCATCCCAAGACCTGTAAGTCAGAAAATGGAAAGAGAGCAGAGTGAAGAGAGAGAGGAAGTTCTGCCAAAATGTCTGTTTATAGTCTGGAGGCAGAGCACACCCTAAGGAAACTCCGTTTTCAACTGGTTGATACATTACATTAGATTACATTATGTAATAGCAACTAGACTAGTGCTTAACCAAGCCACTGGGAACTGTAACCCAGCAAAGTTGACACACAAAATTAACCATCACATCCTATTACCTTGGACAAGCCATTTTCTCTGTTGCCTTGGTTTCCCCATCCATAAAATGAGAGCATTGGATGAAATTATTTCTAAATTCTTTGCTCTCTGAAGATGGCCATGAAAGAGATTCTAGATACAAAATAATTACCCTGAAATCACCCTACTCTTTCATAAAGTTCTTTCATAAAGCACCTCAAGCCTTTTCAGAATGATTTCTCTTTGACCAGACCTAATTTGTGAGAAAATATGTTAGTCAGTTAAGAACATTAGAGGGTGATTATGCACTTTATAAAGAGATGCATCTCTTTACCAAAAAATTATTTTAACTATAAGATGCCATGATGCATTTAATACCATTGATTTTGCAAAAAATATTTGTCTCCAGCTTCTCAAGAGCATATAAAAGAAAGTGTTTGTAGAGGTAAAAGTTAGTGTGACCTTAAATCCCACATCAGTCTTCACCTGCTAATTTGCCAGTTATTATTTCACTTCATTTAAGTTTCTGCTCAAATGTGACTTCCTCAGAGAGTCCTATCTAAAAACAGTTACCCCATCAGTCTCTGTCGTCTTATCCTGGGTTATTTTTTATAACATGATCACTACCTGACATTATATTATGTATTTATTTGTCTGTTTCCACCATTGGAATATGAGGTCTATAAAGACAGAGACTATTTTATTCATTCGATAGTCCTAGTGCCTAAAACAGTGCCTGGCACATAGGAGATGTTCAATAAATATTTTTAAGTGAGTGAATGAATGAATCTCACTTGATTATGACCTGTAGCAAAATCTGTGTTGCATTCAGAAAAATTTCCAGGATTCTTATTTGGTGATTCTAGGGTCAAAGGACTATCAACTGGTTACATGGTCCCGTGATCAGACCTTAAGAATGTGGCGGGTGGATTTCCAGATGCAAAGGGTATGTATTCCATGCTATTGTGAAGGAGTGTAACTGAATACACTAGAAACTTAAAAAAAAAAAGAAGATTTGTATTTGTGGATGTTAGAGGCTACAAGAGAGACACTTAATACGTTTTTGCTGACAGAGTGGCCTATGTCTGTCATACTGAGGCTTTGAGGTCTTTAAGAGGCAGCTTCACCACTTTTAGAGCAAAAAACCTTTGAATGTTTTTTTTTTTCCTTTTGCCCTGATAAATGATAGTACAAGTAGCATACTGTGCAAATGGCCTGTGGGCTTCATTTCTTTCTCTTCTAAATGGGGTAGGAGGCCTATTCTTGTACTCATAATGTTTAGAGCCCTCCATGCCCATCAACAACACCTCTTCTATGAGCCATTTCTAATATTTCCCTCCAGATGATATCTGTTTCATATATGAACCTCATGTGGACTGCTTTTGTGGCCCTTACTTTGCTGCACCTCATTGTTGAGTTCTGGCTTCTCTTTATTCAATTGCTAAATTTTGTGAAGGCAGAAACCATGTCTCACTTGTTATTGCCCCCTCTTTACTACCCCAGTGCTTTGCTGGATAAAATTTGCAACTAAGTTGATGTCACTCTTGAGGAATTTTGGCCAAGTATCACTATCTTATTGCCTTTTAAATCTATTTTAAATCTATCTCCAGAAGGTACCATTTGCTCCAAACATTTTGAGTTTATACTTGCTAAATAACTCCATGAAGTCTTGGAATTTGAAAGAATGTTTTCTGAGGTTTGCATTAGCTATGAACATGATGAGAAGTTCTCAGGATAGAGTAGTAGAGTATATTGTCTTGTGTATTTAACCAGAGAGAGTTAGTAATGAATCAAACCTATTTTGATTGGTATGAGTTCTTGGCTGACTTCATCTCTGTCCTTTGTAATTCTCATTTTGAAGTCAGAACTCTTTAACCAAACACGATGATCAATTCCACTGATGTCCATAGACCTAGATCTCCTGTCTTTTGTTTCAGCTTTGTGCAAATGACATATTAGATGGTGTTGATGAGTTCATTGAGAGCATTTCTCTTCTGCCGGAACCAGAGAAGACGCTTCACACTCAAGATACAGATCACCAGCACAACTCAAGCCATGGAGAGGAAGAAGGTAATTTGTCTGACTGATGACAGCTAGGTGAGGTGCTGCTCTACACATTTCATAGGTGAGAGACAGTGACTGATGCAAGATCAGAACCCTAGAGTTCTAATGTAATTGGTTTGGGAGGAGTCATGGTAGAAGGGGACAAGGGAGTGGATACCAAACTCAAAGAGGAGATGCTTACAAGGTAATTCAGTATGGAGAAAGAATAAGAATCTTGGGAAGTTTAAAGGAATATTTTAAACTCTTTAATGTGCATCCTAAGGACATATAAAACTCAAATCAGAGGAAAAACCACGCGATGAGAATTTAGCAGAAAAATTTGCACTGGAAAGCCCTATTTATTTTTATCCTAATTTGAGAGAGATTGGGGGACTTTGGGTGAAGACTCTTTGTAAATTCCACACTTACTAGAGAGGTTTAAAATAAGCCTTGATAGCTGGTAGGGCAAGCCCTCCCACCTGGAACTTCTTCAGGAGTTCTTTTGGATTTCTTCATAAATGTTTAAATCAACTTGTAGGTTCCATGAAGAATTTGGTTGGGATTTTGATTGGAATTGCATTGAATCCATATTGAATTTAGGGAGCGTATCATATCATCTTTACGGTATTGAGACTTGAACTCCATTAACGTTCTCTATTCTCTCTCTCTATATATATGTATTGAATATCAGTTAAATTGTGGAGCAGTGGTTAAGAGCTCGGCTGTTAACCAGAAGGTTGGCAGTTTGAATCAATCAGCTGCCTCTTGGAAACCGTATGGGGCAGTTCTACTCTGTCCTATAGGGTCGCGATGATTCAGAATTGACTCGACAACTGGTTTGGTTTTTTGGTTTCAATTAAATTGTATTATTTTCTCCGTAGAAATTTTTTCTTGCCAATAATATTTTATTGTGTTTTCAGTGAAGGTTTACACAGCAGTTTAAGTTCCCATTCAACAATTTCTACACAAATTGTTCAGTGACATTGGTTACATTCTTCACAATGTGTAAACATTTCTAATTATTTCCGTTCTGGTAGTTCAGTTTCTATTAATCTAGTTTTTCTGCCCCCTTACATTCTCATCTTTGTTTTAAAGTAATTGCTGACCGTTTGATCTCATACAGGTGATTGTTATCTTTTTTTTTTTTTTTTCAGTGTGCTTTAGGTGAAGGTTTACAAAGCAGATTAGTTTCTCATTAAACAATTAATACACATATTGTTTTGTGACATTGGTTGCGGCGTGTCGGCACTCTCCTTCTTGACCTTGGGTTCCCCATTTCCATTCGTCCAGCTTTCCTGTCCCCTCCTGCCTTCTTGCCCTTGCCCCTGGGTTGGTGTGCCCATTTAGTCTCATATACATGGTTGAGCTACATGTATTATTGTTTGTTTTGTGGGCCTGTCTAATCTTTGACTGAAGGGTGAACCTGAGGAGTGACATCAGTACTGAGTTAAAAGGGTATCCGGGGACTATACTCTTGGGGTTTCTCCAGTCTCTGTCAGGCCAGTAAGTCTGGTCTTTTTTTTTTGTGAATTAGAATTTGTTCTACAGTTTTCTCCAGCTCTGTCTGGGACCCTCTGTTGTGTTCCCTGAACTGTCAGAGCAGTCAGTGGTGGTAGCCAGGCACCATCTAGTTGTGCTGGACTCAGTCTGGTGGAGGCTGTGGTAGTTGTGGTCCATTAGTCCTTTGGACTAATCTTTCCCTTGTGTCTTTGGTTTTCTTCATTCTCCCTTGCTTCAGGCGGGGTGGGACAGGTGGAGTATCTTAGATGGCCGCTCACAAGCTTGTAAGACACCAGCTGCTACTCACCAAAGTAGAATGTGGAACATTTTCTTTCTAAACTGTGTTATGCCAGTTGAGCTGGATGTCTCCAGAAACCATGGTCCCCAGGCCTCAGCCCTGTAATTCGGTCCCTCAGAGAGTTTGGATGTGTCTATGAATCTTCCATGACCTTGCCTTTGTCAAGATGTGCTGACGTCCCCAGTATTGTGTACTGTCTTATCGTTTACCAAAGTTACCACTTATCTATTTTCTAGTTAGTGTTTTTTCCTTCCCGCCTTCCCCCACCTTGTAACCATCAAAGATTGTTTCTTCCTTTGTATAAATGAATTTTTACAATAGTGGTCTCATACAGTATTTGTCCTTTTGTGATTGACTTATTTCACTTAGCCTAGTGTCCTCCAGGTTCGTCTATGTTGTGAGACATTTAGCAGATTCATCATTGTTCTTTATTGTTGTGTAGTATTCCATTATGTGTATGGACCATAGTTTGTTTGTCTGTTCATCTGTTGATGGACACTTAGGTTGTTTCCATCTTTTTGCTGCTGTGAATAATGCTGCAGTGAACATGGGCGTGCATATGTCTGCTCGTGTGACAGCTCTCATTTCTCTAGGGTATGTTCCTAGGAGTGAGATTACTGGATCGTATGCTATTTCTATTTCTGGCTTTTTAAGGAAGCGCCATATCGTTTTTGAAAATGGTTGTACCATTTTATATTTCCACCAGCAGTGCATAATAGTTCCAATTTCCCTGCAGCCTCACCAACATTTGTTATTTTCTGTTTTTTTTGATTCGTGTCAGTAATGTTGGGTTGAGATGGTATCTCATTGTAGTTTTGATTTGCATTTCTCTAATGGCTAGTGGTCATGTGTCTGTTAGCCACCTAAATGTCTTCTTTGGTGAAGTATCTGTTCATATCCTTTGCCCATTTTTTAACTGGACTATTTGTCTTTTTGTTGTAGAGGTATTGCATTTTCCTGTAGGTTTTAGAGACTGGACCTTTATCAGATTTGTTGTAGCCAAGAATTTTTTCCCAGTGTGTACGTTCTCTTTTTACTCTTTTGGTGAAGTCTTTGATGAGCTTAAGTGTTTAATTTTTAGAAGATCCCGGTTATCTAGCTTATCTTCTGGTGTTTGTGTATTGTTAGTTACGGTTTGTATCCTATTTATGCCATTTTGTGGGACCTCTAGCGTTGACCCTATTTTTTCTTCTACGGTCTTTATGGCTTTTGGTTTTATATTTTGGTCTTCGATCTATTTTGAATTAGTTTTTGTGCATGGTGTGAGGTATGGGTCCTGTTTTATTTTTTTGCAGATGGACATCCAGTTTTGCCAGCACCATTTTTTAAAAAGACTGTCTTTTCCCCATTTATTGAACTTTGGACTTTCGTTGAAGATCAGGTGACCATAGGTGGATGGATTTACATTTGAGTTCTTGATTTTGTTCCATTGGTCAATGTGTCTGTTGTTGTACCAGTACCAGGCTGTTTTAACTACTGTAGCTATATAGTAGGTTCTGAGGTCAGGTAATGTGAGGCTTCCTACTTTATTCTTCAGCAGTGCTTTACTTATCTGGGGCCTCTTTTTTTTCCATATGAAGTTAATGATTAGTTTTTCCATCTTGTTAAAGAAAGCTATTCATATTTGGATTGGGATTGCATTGTATTTGTAGATTGCTTTGGGTAGAATTATTTTCACAGTGTTGCGTCTACTTATCCATGGGCATGGTATATTTTTCCATTTTTGTAGGTCTCTTTTGGGGGAATGATGTTGTCTTTCGGTTTTGTATAGATGCCCTTTATCATGTTGAGGAATTTCCCTTCTATACCTATTTTATTGAGAGTTTTTATCAGGAATGGGCATTGGACTTTATTGAATGCCTTTTCTGCATCGATTGAGATGTTCATGTGATTCTTTGATTTATGTGGTGGATTATGTTGACTGATGTTCTGATGTTGAACCATCCTTGCATAGCTTGTATGAATCCCACTTGGTTGTGGTGTATTATTTTTTTTAATATGGTGCTGAATTCTGTTGGCTAGAATTTTGTTGAGAATTTTTGCATCTATATTCATGAGAGATATTGGTCTGTAATTTTCTTTTTTTGTGGTGTCTTTGCCTGATTTTGGTATCAGGGTTATACTGGCTTCATAGAATGAATTTGGAAGTATCCCTTCCTTTTCTGTGTTCTGAAATAGTTTGAGTAGTACTGTTGTAAGCTCTTCTCTGAATGTTTGATAGAATTCTGGGCCAGGGCTTTTGTTGTTGTTGTTGGAGTTTTTAAAATTATCTTTTCAATCTCTTCTCCTGTTATGGCTCTGTTCAGACTTTCTACCTCAGTTTGTGTTAGTTAAGTAGTGTGTTTCTAGAAATTTGTCCATTTCTTCTAGGTTTTCAAATTTGTTGGAGTATAGTTTTTCATAGTACTGTCTTATGATCCTTTTTATTTCAGTTGAGTCTGTTGAAATGTCTCCCATTACATTTCTTATTTGGGTTATTTGCTTCCTTTCCTGTTTGTCTTTTGTCATTTTGGCTAATGGTTTGTTGATTTTGTTGATCCTTTCAAAGAACCAAGTTTTGATTTTGTTTTTCTGTTCTGTATTTCATTTATTTCTGCTCTGTTCATTATTATTTCCTTTTTCCTGGTGGCTGTGGGCTTCTTTTGCTGTTCTCTTTGTGTTTGTTCAAGTTGTATAGCTAATGTTTTAATTTTGTCGCTTTCTTCTTTTTTGATGTGTGCATCTATTGTTGTAAATTGACCTCTGAGCCCTGCCTTTGCTGTGTCCCAGAGGTCTTGGTACGATGTGTTTCCATTCTTGTTTGAGTCTAGGATTTTTCTTATTTCATCTTTGATGTCTTCTATTATCCCATGGTGGTTTTTAAGCAAGATATTATTCAGTTTCCATGTATTTGATTTTTTCCCCTGCTCTTCCTGTTATTAATTTCTACTTTTATGGTGTTGTGATCAGAGAAGATGCTTTGTATTATCTCAGTGTTTTGGATTTTGTTGAGGGTTGCTTTGTGGCCTACAATGTGATCCATTCTGGAGAATGTTCCATGTGCCTTGGAAAAGAATGTGTACTTTGTTGATGTAGAGTGGAATGTTCTATATATGTCTGTGAGGTCAAGTTGTTGATTATGGCCTCTAGATCTTCTGTATCTTTGTTGAGTTTCTATCTAGTTGTTCTGTCCATTACCAAGAGTGGTGTTGAAGTTTAATACTACTGTGGAACTGTCAGTTTCTCTTTTCAGTGCTGTTAGACTTTGTTTTATGTATTTTGGAGCCCAGTTGCTGTTTTGGAGCTGTTTTTTCATTCTTTTATCTGATTTTTCCTAAAGTAAATTGGTATCCAAGGATTTGTCTTCAGTTTTGCTGATCCTGTCTTCCATTGTCTCAAATTTGCTCCTAAAGCCTTCTATTGCACTGTCCATTTCTGAAATTTTATTGTTTATCTTTTGGATTTGTAATTGCTGTTTTCGTATGATTTCTAGTTGTTTATTTCTTTTATCATTTTGTTCTTGTATTATTTTCCTGAATTCTTCCATTGCTATGTCTGTGTTTTCCCTGATTTTGTCTGTATTTTCCATGAGTTTGTCTAGTTTTTCCTTATTTTTGTCTGTGTTTCCCTTCATGTCTTCGCTAATCTCTTGGAGAGCCCTGAATATTAGAGTTTTGACTTCTCCATCAGGTAGTTCCAGTGCCTTTTCTTCTACCAGAAAATCATCTGGTGTTTTATTTTGGTCACTTTCTGGAGCTATCCTGTCCTCTTTTTTAAAATATTTTCATATTGTCTCTTGTCTCCGGGACATTCAGGAATTATTTTCTTCATTTATAGATTATAGATTTGTTTGTTTTGTCCTACTGTTTTGTTTTACTTGGTTATGTCTGGGAAAGTGGGCTGGGCGTTTTTTTGTTGCTTGCTTGTCTGTGGCTTTGTCCAAGTGAGCAGGGCTGGTCACTCAGCTATGGTGCAGCAGGGCAGGTCCAGCGAGGGAGGGGAGGGGCGGGGATGGGTTGTTTGTGGCTCATACTGGGGCCGACAAGGCAGTGTAGGGTAGGGTCCAGGGTTCCAGTGGTCTGCACTGGTGCCACTTGGGCACGCGGCGCTCGGCACACAGTGCAGATAGGCAGGAGGGAAGGGAGAAGATGAGGTGCGCAGAGAGAAAGAAGAAACAGAAGCAAAAAAAGCAACAAAAAAAATGAAGGAAAAAAGAAAAAAAAAGTAAATGGCACAGTAGGATTTGGTGGGTAGGGGTGGGGCAGGCCCAGGGAGGCCATGTGCCAGTGGCTCTATAGTCAAGTGGTGTGGCTTGGCCTGTCGAGAAGGGGAGTGGGTGGCACACAGGGTTAGGTAGGTGGGAGAAAGGAAAGGAAAGAAGGAAAAGAGAGAGAAGAAACAGAAAAAAAAAAGAAAGAAAGCAACAAAAACAAAAAGTAAATATAGTGCTCAGGGAGCTGGCCATTGGCGATGGGGCAGAATTGGGGTGGTGGCGAGCTGATGTCTCTCTCTCCGGGTGGTGCGGCACGGCCCATCAGGAAGGGGCAGAGGCAGCGCAGAGCTTACGCGGGAGTGAGAGAGGAAAGGGAGAAGGGGAGCGATAAAGAAAAATTAAAAATATGGCACTGAGGGAGCCGGCCTGTGGGGGCAGTGCAGACCTGGGGAGGCTGTGTGCCAGAGGCTCTTTAGCTGAGTGGTGCAGCACAGTCTGTCAAGAAGGGGTGGGGAAGCGCATGGGGCTAGGTGGGTGGCAGAAAGGAAAGGAAGGAAGGGAGAGAGAAGAAACAACCACAATGACAAAAAAAGAAAACAAAAACAAACAAAAAATGGCACTAAGGGAGCCAGTCAGTGACAATGGTGCAGACCCAGGGAGGCTGTTTGCCAGTGACTCTCTAGCTGAGCGATGCAGTTCGACCCTTAGAGAAGAGGCAGGATCGGTGCACAGGGCTAGTTGGGCGGGAGAAAGGAAGGAAGTGAGAAAGAGAAGAAACAGAAAAAAAAAAAGGACAAAGCAAACAAACTCAAAAAATATGGCACTGAGGGAACTGGCTGGTGGGGGTAGCGCAGACCTGGGAAGGCTCTCTAGTCTAGTGGTTTGGTAAGGTCCTTCAAGAAAGAGTGAGGACGGGTGGGTCGGAGACAGGAAAGGAAGGAAGAGAGAGAGAGAAGAAACAAACAAACAAAACAAAAAACAAACCAAAAAATCAGAAAAATAATACGGTGCTGAGGAAGCTGGCCAGTGGGGGCAGTACAGACCCATGGAGACCATGTGCTGATGGCTTTCCAGCCAAGCGGTACAGCACTGCCTGTTGAGAAGGGCCGGGGATGGTACATAGGGTTAGGTGGATGGGAGAAAGGAAAGGAAGGAAGGGATAGAGAAGAAACAAACAAAATGTGGCACTGAAGGAGCTAGTGGTGGGGGTGGCATGGACCTGGGCAAGCCATGTGCCAGTGGCTCTCTAGCCAAGTGGTGCAGCACTGCCCTTCAAGAAGGGGCAGGAGTAGCGCATGGGGTTAAGGGGGCGGGAGAAAGGAAAGGAAGGAAGAGAGAGAGAGAAAAAATAAAGC